TATATATTCAAACTTTATAAATTTATAGATATATAGATAGTCACCGGTGGGTGTTGTTTTGTGTCAATATTCTGTACCAACCAATCGCTGCACCGTTGCGAGGCTGCACCTCTTACGTCCACAGTCTTGAGATTATCTTGAAACATTTATGTGTATACAATTTTTTGAACAAGATAGGAGATCGATTATAACTACTCTCAAATCAACACAATCGCCCGTGTGTCTCCAATGCACATTTTTTTACACACGCCACATACACATATCTTTACGTGCCCATAATGATACACCTCGTCTCACATTTTAGGACCGCACATGCCACAAATGCCCGCCTACCAACACACCAATACCTCCGGCATGATGCGAGAGGGTCCCCCGGGGGCCGTTATGAACGGCGGCGGTGAGGGTCCCTATGGCTACCGCTCTACCAACACCCCTCCAGCACTCAACAGACCAGCACACCCCCAACAACCGAGACAGAATATACACACCCAACCACCCGTACACGGCCAGGGCAGGCCGCTGCCTGGTAGTACCATGCCGATTGCTTCGGCCAAGTCGCGTCCGGCTACTACGGCTATTGTGCAGGCGCAGAACAAGCCGGCGCATAGCATGCACAGTGAATCCCCACATGCACAGACCCAGATACACACTCAGCAACGACAACCACCTCCGCAACGCAACGCTTCACAACCACCGGCCCAGCCTACGCTGCCTATGTCGGCGCCTACAGTGCCGGACACGGCACCAGCTACTGTGCCTGTCACTGAGACCATGTCTGGAGCTCAGGAGGAGAAGCATGAGGCGAGCGATATGCCTGCGGCTGAATTAGACACCGTGATGGGAGAGACGCATACATCGGAAAATGTCAGTGCGGAAGCGTCTGTCAAAAACGAAGTGCCTGCGGATGCTGACACGGATATGGCGGGGACGGTCGAAGCTGAGACAACCCCTTCAGAAGGGGTTACACAGTCACCTGCGGGCGAGAGTGTGTTGCAGCCTGGGGAGAGGGACGATGATGAGGAGAGCAATGGCATGGTCATAGACGATGCTGTACAAGAGAGTGCGAGTGTACCGGATGGGGCTCCTGTGAATGAACAACTTGTTGCGGCTACGGTCGGAGAGAGTGTTGTGGACACTGTCCCAACGCGTGCGACGAGTACTGGCACTCACCCGGTTGAAGGTGATACGAGGCCTCAGTCGGAAAACGCAGGTACAGCTACACAAGCAGCACAGCCTGTTGTAGGCAACGGCACGGTAGAGGCGAGCAGATCTGCATTGAGTGGGCCCCAGAGTGCGGGCGTGAGCACAGATATTACTGCTAGTGTGGATAAACCCCCTCAAGAGCAACTATCAGGGCAGGCAGAGGATGCTGAGGTTGACGGTATGGTTTTGGACTCTCATGTGGACAAGCCTTATTCCACCGCCGCCGAGGCTGGTTCCGATAATGTCATACAACCTGCTGTCCCATCCCAGGTACCCGACGAGGTCCCTGCACCTGCCGCACAAGCACCTACGGTATGTATGTGGTCAACTCTGTGTAACATCTAGAGTCAAGTTTGTCGTGTTCGCAAGGGGGAGAGACCGTGTTATAGGATGTGTATTTGTTATAGGATATGTATTTTCTTTTTATGTGCTCAGTTGCATCAATGTCTCCGAAATGTTGTTGTTGAAGTATGGCACAAAGTCCGTTGAAAGGTCCAATTTGTAGAATATGTATATTGAAAACACGTGCGAGCGATGTACATCGGAGATAACCTCTATAAATTGGTGGTTAGTAATGTAATATAGTATGCAATTCGTTGTAGTGATCGCGACGGTTGGCCGTGTTTCGTTTCGTACGTGTGGTTTGACTTTATATGAGATCTGTGTCTTGTTTGTGAATAATGTTTTATAGCTTTCACCCAAATCACATTTGCTTCTACTTGAACAAGATATAAAAGCAGTGAGCATTCATTGTCGGTTATCATTACCTTTGTGTAGTATTTAAGTTGATTACTAAATTCACTTCTGTCGTCTTTTCACAGACTGCATCTATGCCGCAGGGAATGGATATAGATAGCGCCCCGATATAATAGGACTGCAAGTTCTACTATTTCTAAATCTATCGAAAAATAAATAAAGAATGCCGGACATTGGTATTCGGATACAATTGCCGCTACCTCTCGGGGGGAGTTTCTTGTTCATATTGAGAATTCTCTGTTTCTTGAAACTATGCCCAAGCGATTTTCCTATCAACCCAAAGAAGTTTTATTCTCTTTATAGAAGTCAGCATGTTTGTGCAGCAAAAATTGCTGATAGGATAGTATATGTTGCTGTTAGTTATTTTGTATGTTTTCCTTTGAAAATATATTTGTTGGTTCTTATTTGCTATGCATGCAGCTTTTATGCGCACTACCCTATACACATGTCCCGTGTCTGCTGATTAGGAGCCAATTGTGCTCTCATCATGTCATACACTTGAGGCACGGCCACACTAGGTGTTCCTAGAGATCAAAACAGGGGATGTGAACTATTTGCATTTGACATATAAAACACACACTTACGCTTACATTTACGTAGTATACATAATATTCGTCAATCTGCATCCGCACAATAGCTGCTGGAACCGGCTTTTACCGCGTCGAAGTCGTACATGAGTAACGCAGTTATACTGCTCATATACAGTGGAAAATGTCAATTACACGAATGCTGCAGGCGAGTATCGGGAACGAACCGTTGGGAGTGTTCCACTGGACTGATTCTGGAAAAGCTAGTTATTAAACAAGTGTCTACTACATACATAGACCTTATTCTCTTAGCGGATACTGATATGAATCATATATCTACGCTTGCTGCCAGGAATGATCATTGTTTGTACTACCCATGGATCATTCTAAATTCCTACAATTACCCACTTTGTAATGCCGAATTGATGACAACCACAGAGTTTCTGAAGCCAAATGGATGACAACCACAGAATTTCTAAGCCAAATGGATGACAAATCACACAGTTTCCAAAGCCAAAATTTTATTTGATACGGGATACCGCGACCGCAAGCAAAACTACGCATTATCTCTGCGCGCTTGTATGTTGCTCGCCTGCGAATCGCGCTTGGTAGCTCTCAGTACGAAGCGACAACGTGAAATGGATATCGGCGAACCCGTCTGCTATGACTGCCATTTTCAAAACTGATGAAAACAATCAAGTTTGTTCAGGCAATGCATGTTTGTACTAATATTTATTGAGATCTTTTCATGTGTTCGGATATATATACAAGTCGAGCCGGCTCACTTTTTGTATAAATATTCATATAATTTACAGCTCATGTCTCTCAGACCCAGGTACCAGCCCCGAGAAGATGTGCGTGAACGTGTTCCAGATGATGGTGGGTTCATGGTAGATCTGAGCCAGCCCTACCTTGGCCATAGCGAAGTAAAAACTAACCACGCTCTCTGTGGATTCATACCAGGCAACCGGTGATACCGCATCCAGCACACTGCTCTTCTGCTTGAGCAACTCGGTTACATCCTGAAGTATAAATGTGGTATATAAGAAAATTGAGCGATTCATCCCCAGTATTTATATGGTTATAATTACTACAACACTTGCAATGATATATCACAATGCAACGATCTATAGTAAGGACTCGTTGGTACAACCTCTAAAGCGGTAAATATTACCCGTCACTGGACAACAAATACGACCCACGCATGAATGCTCACCACTGCGCTGCGTACTATGCTATCAACGTTATAATAACCAAGTTATACACTATCGTTACCGCACTGTTACACCTCCTGTTTGAAATCTAACATCAAAAACTTGTGTACGGTAAAAACAATACTATAGAGCACCCACGCCACCATACCTTCCCATATCATCACTCACAACATATAGGATCATAGACCAAACACTTACCGCAACACGCTCGCGCTTCTCATCAACAGCCCACATCAAGAGAACATCCGGTCGGGTATACTCACGAACCCTGAACACAACCTCGTATACTGGGTTAGCAGGAACGCGGTTATTCATCTTGTCCTGAGCGTGGGGCTCGAATGAGATGTACATGCGGCGCAAAGTATCCTTGTCTGACCAGGCTTTAAGTGCCTTCTGGCGGTCAACTTCGGGGGAACCAACAGCGGCGACTGAGTAATCCTTGAGTTTGCCTTGACCAAGATTTAACTTCGTCAGGGTGCGTTGGCAAGCACGGATGCAGTGAACATCATCTGTGGATAAGGTACACCAGGTTGATCAGTCACATGAACAAGAAAAAAGATTATAATTATACTTAATCCTTTCACGATGAAAGCTCTACAAACGGTAACACTGAATGCAAAGATATCACGAAGTGGATTTGACTTACAGTATACATCGGCATCGATGGGATCGCTATCAACAACAGCTTGAAGTCCTCGCTGAACATGTGAATAAAAGTGAAGCAGATAGTTAGACTATGACATGAACTACCGTATGAGTTTTCATGCTTCTCTAAAATGAAATGAATAAATAAATAATACAAAAGCAATGAATTGAATAAAAAGTAGGTGATGACAAGCGGTGCATACGTTGAACAGGTCGACAACGCCGGCGTCTCCTCCTTCTTCGTCACTGGTATCGTCCATGGTGTTCTGTGCGTATGATGCCAGGAAGTACAACAAATCATCTGAGTCCAAACCATCGGATACAGACACGTATTTTCCCTCCTTGTTCTTCAAAAGGAGGTTCTCGTCCACGGATGGATCGTTTCTGTTCTTAAACCTGTACTCGGATATCTCTTTGGCCGTCCACTCGTTTGAAGTCTCTCCGTTCGCATCTGTTGTGCGCACAGAGTACACAGTCCTACCAGCGTTGGGAAATAAGAACTCCTTCATCGAATCTACATCCGTGAGCTTACCACTGGCGGCTTGCATCTTGGCGAATTCATCCTTGGCACCTTCTTTCTTCTTCCACGCCTCGTTGTTCAGCTTCTCCGTTTCCGCGCGCAGGTTGCTAGAGCTTGGTACTTTCTGGGACGCTTTATCGGCCGCGTTGTCTGCTGAATCTTTGGCATTTTGAGCTGTGTTTGCTGCTGAATCTTTGGCGCTCTGAGCTGCGTTTGCTGCTGAATCTTTGGCGCTCTGAGCTGTGTTTGCTGCCGAGTCTTTGGCATTCTGAGCTGTGTTTGCTACCGAGTCCTTGGCAGCCTTAGCGCTATTTCGCGCTTGCTTGCCAGCCGCCTGCCCTTGCTGAGCTAGATCATCTACACCCTCCTTAGCAGTGTTAGCTGCAACGCGCACACTTTCATTGGCGCTATCGGCTGCGTTACGTACCTTGTCATTCGCATCCTGTGCGGTTGCCTTGCCCTGTTCCTTTGCGTACTCAACGTCTGCTCGGAGTTTATCTGTTTTCGGCGCACTACTGACAATTGATTTACGGAGCGCTTCACCCGCGCTCAGTAGCGATGCCTGCAGAGCGGTTTGAATGGCCTGTTCCTTATTCCACGCATCATTGATGAGCTTCATAGTCTTTGCCTTCAGATTAGCAACGGCACCACCAGCTTGTGCCTGAGCCTTCTGGCCTTGTGCATTGGCCTCAGCAGCCACTTCTTCGCCCGCCTGGTATGTTACATCCGCCGCATTTCTTGCCTGCCCATTGATATACTCCCCCGCATCGGCAGCATTCGCCTGTGCCATGCTCGCAGCTTCACCAATTTTCTTGTTTGCTAGTGTGCCGGCTTTCTCCGCTTGAGACTTAGCTTCTTCGGTCAGTTCGGTAGCTTTCTGATCAGCTTGCGCGGCAGCCTTCTCGGCCTCCAACTTAGCCTCACCAGTCAGCTCAGAGGCTTTCTGAGTCGCAGCCTGCGCCTCTTTCTGTGCAGCAGCAGCAGCCTTCTCCGTTTGCACCTTAGCTTCCTCGGCCAACTTAGAAGCTCTCTGACTCGCTTGGGTGGCAGCTTTCTCGGCCTCCACCTTAGCCTCACTAGTCAGCTCAGAAGCCTTCTGAACCGCAGCCTGCGCTTGCTCCTGCGCGGCAGTAGCCGCCTTCACTGATTGTACTTTAGCTTCTTCAGCCAGGTCAGAGGCTTTCTTGCTAGCTTGTGTGGCAGCTTTCTCGGCCTCCACCTTGGCCTCACCAGTCAGCTCCGAAGCCTTCTGAACAGCAGCCTGCGCTTGATCCTGCGCGGCCGTAGCAGCCTTCACTGATTGTACTTTAGCTTCTTCAGCAAGCTCATAGGCTTTCTGACTAGCTTGTGTGGCAGCTTTCTCGGCCTCCACCTTAGCCTCACCAGTAAGCTCAGATGCCTTCTGAACCGCAGCCTGCGCTTGCTCCTGCGCTGCCGTAGCCGCCTCGTTGGCCTTCTGGCTCGCTAGAGTAACAGCCTTATTTGCTTGTACCAGAGCTTCTTGAGTCAACTCAGACGCTTTCTGACTTGCTTGTGTGGCAGCTTTCTCAGCCTCCACCTTAGCCTCACCGGTCAGCTCAGAAGCTTTCTGGACTGCAGCCTGCGCCTGCTCCTGCGCAGCTGTAGCAGCATCGTTGGCCTTCTGGCTTGCTAGGGTAGCGGCCTTATCTGCTTGTACCTTCGCTTCTTGTGCCAATTCGGACGCTTTCTGACTAGCTTGGGTGGCAGCCTTCTCAGCCTCCACCTTAGCCTCACCGGTCAGCTCAGAAGCTTTCTGGACTGCAGCCTGCGCTTGCTCCTGCGCTGCCGTAGCCGCCTCGTTGGCCTTCTGGCTCGCTAGAGTAGCAGCCTTATTTGCTTGTACTAGAGCTTCCTGATTCAACTCGGAAGCTTTCTGACTGGCTTGTGTGACAGCATTCTCAGCCTGCACCTTTGCCTCACCAGTTAACTCCGAAGCTTTTTGGATAGCCGCCTTCGCCTGCTCCTGCGCAGCCGCGGCAGCCTCATTGGCTTTCTGGCTCGCTAAGGTTGCAACCTTATCAGCTTGTACTAGAGCTTCTCCGCTGAGCTCGGAGACCTTCTGGACTACGGCCTCCGCACCCTCCTTAGCTTTTTGACTCACGTAATCTGCAGCATCAGCTGTACCAGCAGCTGCTGCATTCTTAGCTGCCTCGCCCTGAACTAAAGCCTCTTGAGAAGCCTCCTGTCCCTTCACATACGCAGCATTCTTCAGTTCTTTTGCTTTCTGACCAACATACTCACCACCAGCAGCGGCATTCGCGGCAGCGGCATCCTTGGCCACCTGAGCTTGAGCCATCGCCTCAGCTGAGAGCTCTTCACCTTTCACGTAGGCTGCACTGGCAGCTTCCTTCGACTTCTCACTCGCATATTCACCGGCAGCCTGTGCATTCTCCACTGCTGCGTCTTTGGCTTTGATGCCCTGCTCGTATGCGGTGTCTCCAGCAACGCTTGCCTGCTCAGCAAGGTAGTCGCTAGCATCCGCAGCTTGTGAAACAACAGCGTCCTTCAGAACACCACCTTGTTCGTAGGCGGCGTTAGCAGCTTCCTTGGCCTTCTCACTCGCATACTCCCCAGCAGACTGTGCGTTCTCCATCGCCGCATCCTTGGCCTTGACACCTTGCTCGTACGCTGCATCTCCAGCAACACTTGCCTTCTCGCCAACATACTCGCCAGCATCGGCTGCTTGCGAAATAACGGCATCTTTCACCACACCCCCTTGCTCATACGCGGCATTGGCGACTTCTTGACCTTTGATACTTGCATACTCACCGGCCTCTCCCACTTTCTTACCGGCATAGTCACCTGCTGCGGCCAGATTGGCCATAGCCGCAATTCTCAACACCTCACCGCGCTTCATAGCTTCCTCCTTAAGCACGTCCAACCCATCGCCCACACTACTGGCCGCATCGCTGCCCTTGTTCGCCACATACTTGCCTGTGCTAGTGATGTACCCCTGTAGTTCAGCTTCTACGGCGTGCATCCTTTCACGAGCCTTCTCCCAATAGCTCTGTGCCTCGGCCTTCCACGCCTCGGTATCCGGCGCGATATCACCGGCTGTATCACTGATGCTTTGTCCCGCACTGGAGAGCTTCGCATTGACATCCTTTTCCACTTGTTTCTGGGTGGCCCAGGCGTCTAGTAGAAATTTATCGGTATGGTACTGCAAAGTGTCAGTATCTGGTAGAACTGCACCGGCAGTTTGGCTCGCACTGCTCCCAGCACTGGACAAGAAGTCGCGGATCTTCGACTCTGCTGCCTTGATGCGCGATTGCGCCCCATGAATATAGCTTTTGGTCTCTTCCTTGAGAGCATTGATATAGCCCTCATCCTCCTTTGTGAAAATTATGTTTGCTTGCACAGGCGTGGTCACCAGACTCAGCGCCATGACACAAAGTGCCAAAATAGTGGCAAGCTTAAAGATTCGTGGATTCATAATGTATGTAATAAAGAGTCGAATTGTATATATAGAGTGGCTTACTCAACTACATAGACAGTTCCCAAACCCTTTTAGTATATGTTATGGAGTGTATATCGAAGTCGCGTACGCTTATATCCCTCCTACTGCGGTTTACACATGCCGCAGAAGCTGTTTGTACAGTAAAAGGTAACGCATGTACATATTTCATGACCAGTTTGCCGCCTGTCAGAAACCCTCAGCAGGTCACCGGCTTAAATTTGTGTATTTCGTGTAGCGCGTAGTACCCAATCATATCATCGGAATCGGTCGGCAATATGATAAACATTGACCAATCAGAACAGACAAAGTAAGCTTTTGCAATTGCACTACTTCAACAATAATGCAACGTAAACAAATTAAAAAAAATTGAAAAATGAAATAAATATGTACGTGTAGAACATCTGGAGACAATATAAAAATCAGACTGAGTGAGAGTGTATGTCTGACTGTATGATATAACATCACCCTGATCACAGACATTGAAGACTTGTTATGAAATCATGAAGAGCTATGTATTTACATTTGTTATTGTTTTATTTAAAAAATAAATAAAAAGAGGCTCTAGTGTTAATAGTTGTCTGAGGACTTGAGAACTGAGAGCCTGACACTACAAGCCAACATGCCTGTATCTACACACCCGCCCGCAGTCGCAAACACACACAAATACATGCAACACACACACATCCGTATACACAGGCCACACATGAACGTGTGTTTACGTGTACACTCGCCCACACAGATATAT